TTTACGCCGGATGATTGTCAAAAATTGGTTGACACCATGCCGAGACGTATACAGGCAGTAATAAGCCATAAAGGAGATGTTACGCAGTGGTAGTTTCCAATTAAAATATATTTATTTAAAATATTTTTTTTCTTAATTTTTGGTTTACGGACAATATAAGAGAATTTTAAATATTTTTTTATTACTTAAAAATACAATTTAACGGTAGAAAATTTAATAAACGTTATTTATTTAATTAAAACAATGTGTTTATTTTAATTAATTACAATATAATATTCTAAATATCTTCAAAAAACTATTTTTGTTAGTTGGGCCAACAAAAGTCAACCCAGAGTACAGGGTGTCCCAAATTGGTTGTCCGTATAGGGTCATATCTAACCTAAAAGAGCTAAAAAAAAAAATCTGTCTACACTAATGAATTCTATGATAAAAAGTGCCTACATAATATTTTAAACCTGTATTCGTAACTCAAATATTAACGAAGCTACAAGCATTTGTCAAAATTGGCAAAAATTGAAAAAATAGGTATATCTCCTAAACAAATGCGAATCGAGAAAATTCAAAGACATCAACCGATGTATCTTTAAAAAAGATATTTACTGAGATAGCCTATACGGACAACCAATTTGGGACACCCTGTACACTTTAAGATAACTTAAAAGACAAAATAGATTTAAAGCTTTCTTAAAGGACAGTTTAGAGTCTAAACTTTAAACCCATAACAAAACCAATCAGTTTTAAGGTCGATAATATTTAAACCTTTTTAGGACAAAACCCAGTGGCGGTTTTTTTGGGGTGACTGGAGCGATCACCCCCCTAAATATACTGCTTAATTAATGTTATTGCGTTTTCATAATAATCGAATGAAACACCTAAAAAGTAAATTTAATAAAATTATGTCCCCTGCTTTACCTACTGTGACTGCACTGATTACCTCTACACGTGTGCTTCTTCTAATTTTGCCGCCCCCCTCAATAGATTTCTAAAACCGCCCCTGATTTATAGATGCATCGTATTAGTTTTAATATTTTATGAATGTCTTATGAATTTATTACGACGACCTGTCGTTTTAAATGTTGATTAAAAGTATGTTTAAAATTTAATAGAATGATTATTAATACTACTATACTACCAAAATATTAAACGCCTAATTTTGGTTTGACTAAACACTATAAAATCCCTTTAAAAAATGCATGTGCCTTGTGTTTAACGTAATATTTAAAAATATTATCTTTTTTTTAAATGATATTTTATTAAATATTTTGAGTTTGGTATTCGCTGCCAAGGCTGCAGATCTGAGTGAGGCAGTTAATATGCTTTTCCCGCCGTGTTTATTCTAAGCATGTATTAATTTATCGAGTATGCGACACTTTGTCAGGTTTGACGTTTGACATATGTTATATATATATATATATATATATATATATATATATATATATTAGGGTGTCCCAAAAAAAAACAATATTTTTTTTCTTCTCGTCTCTTGTGAAAATATGTTGGTTTGTCATATTTTAAGAGTCAAAAGGGTCAAATATTTTAAGAGTCAAAAGGGTCAAAAGGGTCAAAAGATCAGCACCATTAAAAAATTTGTAGGGGTCGCTCAAGATTTTTAAAAATTACCAAAATCGTCAAAAATTGGATTTTTTTTAATTTTATTTTTTTTCTCGTTCCGATATTTTTTTTTAATTTAAAAATAATATTGATTCTGAAAATTTCAAATCGATATTTTAATTTCTAAAGGTCGCTCAAGATTTTTTTAACTTTCAAAGTAGAGTATTTTGAATGTTTTCGAGCGACCTCTGAATATAAATATCAACGAACTTTTAGCGACCTTTAGAAATCAAAATATTGATTTGAAATTTACAGAATTTTTATTATTTTCAACCTAAAAAATAATATCGAGACGAGAAAAAGAATTAAAATAAAACAAAAATTCAATTTTTGACGATTTTGAAAATTTTTAAAAATCTAGAGCGACCCCTACAAAATTTTTAATCGAGCTGATATTTTGAAAGGGCTCTTACAGCCATGATAAACTAACATATTTTTACAAGAGACAAGAAAAAAAAATATATTCTTTTTTTTGGGACACCCTAATATATATATGTTATGTTATGTAAATGTACATGAATTTAAATTGCATATATGCAATATATATTGTATACAAATATATATTATTATATTATATACAGGGTGTCCCAGAACTCGCGCCACAGAGAAAAAGGGAACGTACCGAAAGTAATTTGAAACACATATTTAAAAATTCAAATTGTCCAACGCAAAGGATAAGGGAGATAAGAATAAAAAACGATAGCCAATCCCAATAGATCACCAAAGGGAATTCTTTAAATTGCTAGGATACTTAGGTTGCATTGTTGATAATAAAAAATATGTAAAATATTTGGTCCACTGGAATCCAATTCATTGTAAAACTGCTGTAAATCTTTACTCCTGTCATTAATATTATATTAGGTTATAAATTAAGTTATTATTGACAATGCTGTCAATCTTTACTTTTGTCATTAATATTGTATTAGGTAATAAATTAAGTTATTATAAATAATGTTTTCCTTGATGATTATACCGAAATGATAACTATTTATGGGGAGCGTGGGCGCAAAAAAAGCTAAATAAAGTACAATTGGTTTGATTTTTTACTTTAAAACATTGGCGTTCTGAAGTATCAGTCATAGATTAATAACCTCATTTTTTGAAAGCTTTTGACAACTTAGTAAATACAGTTGGCCAAAAGATTTTTAAATGTTTTTAAGACAACAATGTTCTATCGTCTCCTAGCAATTTTTAAAGCTCCTACGTTTAACCTAGGCGAGATGTCTCGGTATTGGCTGCCGCTTTTTTGCTCTCATTCGATCACACTATTACCTAGAAATTTTTTATTTTTAAATTTGGCATCTCCATTGCTATCGGCACGCCCCCTTTTTCTCTGTGGCGCGAGTTCTGGGACACCCTGTATATAAGCTGAGTCAGAAAAAAACCGCCGTGTAACCGATCAACTAGGTGTGGAGACAAGATTTTCGTCAAAATCAACATTACGAAGTGCATTATCGAAAACCAAACCCGAGAGCAGTAAAAACGATAAAAATGCGATTTACCACATCCCATGTGAGTGTGGAGAAGCTTATATCGGTGAAACAAAAAGACCAATACGTGAGGATAAAAGAACATAAAACACACACAAGCTAAGGAGAAATAACAAAATCAGGAGTAGCGGACCACGTTTGGGAGAAGCACCAGAAAATTCTATGGAACGAGATAAAATTATACACAAAGAAGCTCACTACATAAAAAGAAAATTTATTGAAGCTGCATACATCCAACAAAATCGGAATGTGTTTAGTCAGCCTAGCGTGAAAATTAAGCCACTATGGCGTGTATATACAGTTTTTACATTTTGAAATTTGATCATTCTACACTTGAAAACGATCACAGATAGTTGATTGAAACGTTGTGTCATAAAAGAATCAAAGATGAAGATAGTCCAAGACAGTTTAATTCACATTTCTTATCCTTGTTCTTTCATTTGAAAGTCTAAAATTACAAATTTTACCAAAAATAAGGTTTTTCTAAACCTTTTACCATTGCCTTTCAACGAAGATAAATCTTTTAGAAACCAGAAGAAATTTCTTTAGGTGTGTGTTGGTGTGAGGCGAAGTATTTAGTACCAGAATGTTCAAATTTTCTTTTTTAAAAGGGAAAAAAATCAGCTGCCTCTTTTTGCCTGTTTTGTCAGCAGGATATGGAATATGTCCATGGATTTATCATATTAGTCGATTTATTTATAAGTCATCATAGTTGCCTTCTGCAGCAGAAAATCTGCTAGTTCTAAAACGTCAGTTTCGAGTGACAGTCAGTCTTAACATACAATCGCATCGTGTTTTTGTATATTATTAACGCTTTATGGAACTTTAAAAGTACACATAGGTATTTTTAGTGCAATAATAAAATGAAACAAAAAAAAGTTACATTAATTAGCAAAAGTTATTTTACAAGTTAAAAACGTATTTATCAGTAAATCCACTGTGCGTATGTCTGACATATTGGGGTGAAGGAAAAAATCCACTATTCTTTTTTTTACTTATCATATCGGATGCTGGGCACCCTAAAAGAAGCTAATTTTCCATTTTCACATTAGTCCGATGAAAAACACTCTTTATCTCGGTATTAAAACTAAACATATTTTAATAGGGGATTAAATTCTCTACAAAAAATTTTTAGTATGTTTTTCAATTTTTAAATTACCCAATTTTGGATAAACACGATTTTATTTCGATATAAACAAGATATTTAAAGGGACAAACTTTATAAATATGTATAAATATTTCATAAATTTAATTAGGACCTAAAGCAGTGATCCTCGGTTAAAAACCTTTTTTTCATAAAAGTTATTGTCCAACACAACAACAAAAAATCATTCTTCACTCTTCTAAATTTTATTTTTTGCGCTTCTTATTACAAAGTTGTCTTTTATTTGCAGACTAATTATAGAAGAGCAGGAAGTGCAAACAATTTTAAAATTTAATGGAATTTTAATCAAAAATTTAAGCTGTTGTAACAAAAGATGACTTGCAAATTACTTTTCTCAAGCGCCAAGATTCAATTCTGTTTTTGTTAAAAGTTCAATAATGTTGTCATATTGTATTAAAATGTTGTTTTGCAAAAGTTAAGGTTAAAATATACCTTATAGATACAAATTTACCTTTATCGATACAATTTTATATTACTCAGACTATATATATAGGTATACCTATATTTAAATTTTCGAGGTAAAAATACATACATTGTATATAAAACAAAACACAAGCCATTAATTTTATGATTATTTGTACCATTCATTTAATTCAAAATTAAACCAACCGATGTTTCTATATAAATAGGTATACCTATATTTAAATTTACGAGGTAAAAATACATACATTGTATATAAAACAAAACACAAGCCATTAATTTTATGATTATTTGTACCATTCATTTAATTCAAAATGAAACCAACCGATGTTTCTAAAAGTGACCTCGAAAAAGTCGTCTTAAATTTCAACAAAATATGTATACAGTATTTAGAAGCAAAAACCATAAAACCAAATAGGAACCATATGTTAGTGAAAAATGAACAAAAGCTGTTGGAATCTCTGAAAACTTTAAGAAGAAAATTGATACCAAAACCTGAATACTACGACCTAGTAAGCTGCCTAACTATACAGAACCTTAGTAGTCTTATCTCAAATAATAGTATTAAAATTGTGTTAATAATAGTGGATGTACTGAAAAAGATTTCTACCATGGATGTGTTAGAAGATTTTGTATTTGAGATCGTTGAAATGTTATTGGAGGAAGATATAATATTGAAATTAATAGCAGTATCAAATCGCCTAAATATAGATGATAAAGAAGAATCTAAAGCTGTATACGACATTTTTACAATAATCGGTAGTTTTGCTCAGCTCGGCAGTGAAATTGTGGACGAAACTACAATACACCGATTTATGACTTTTTTGCTTACAAATTTAAACATGAAAAAGTACTACAGCAGAAAAACTTTATATGCCAGTGAATTTCTCAATATTCTTCTGCAGGATAGTGAAAGAAATAGGTACATGTTTAGAAAAATCAATGGTATGGTTTCCCTATTAAAACAAATGGAATATTATAAAAAGTTTGTTCCTGAAACTTCTCAAGAAGAGGAGTTAATGAACCATATGTTTAGTTCTTTATGTAGTTGTTTAGTATCTGGTCCTTTAAGATGTAGCTTTTTAAAATTAAATGGAGTTGAACTCATGATAAGTCTGCTCGAAAAAGAGAAAATTTTTGGGGTTGTTTTAAAGGTTTTGACCTATGCTTTCTATGGACCAAATGGTGAAGACAGTTGTAATAGATTTGTAGACAAAGAAGGATTGAAGAATATTTTTCCCAGCAAAAAAATAGAGTGTGCGGAATATGAGAAACAGTTAACTTCCATTGCTGTTTCACTGCTAAGAAATTGTGGTGGCAAGGAAAAAGGCAAAATTCTTGAAGTTTTTAAAGCAGATGGATATCGAGAAATTAAGAACTTGTTGGAACTACATTCAAAGTATTTTACGAGAGTTAATTTAGCCGAACAAAAATACCACGAGTGTAGCTATAATGAAGCATTTTTCATGGGAATCGAATGTGGATTAAACACACTTCAGTTCGTTGATTACATATTGGTCAACTCAAGTTTAATGGATGACAAGATAAAACAACTTGTAAAATTATTTTTCCAGGACAAGGATGAGTTGAACTTAATTTTATTGGATTATGCTCAGAATCTACCTGACGATGGATTAAAGGAATGGAAATATCAGGAAAGGCAGAAAATAGAAGTCATGCTCAAGAGATTTAAGCAAACCAGCTTCAATAACAAACGTTAAATCAGTACTGTTAATAAAGAGAATTTATCTAAAAACCTTTTGTTATTTTATTTTGTCATAAATTTGAATTCTCTATTTTGTTAGAGGGCAATAAATTCATAAGAATTATGTTGTGGAAAACATGTTGACCTGTTTTATTATTCCGCTGCTGGCTTTATGTTTTGCAGCTTTAACGTTTTTTAAAACCGTTTCCACAGCCTCTCCGCAAAAAGGGACTAAAAAAAATGTCGAGGACGGTGATTAGTGTCTAGTCTGAAGCATACGATTAAATCCACAATTATGCATCTAAATAACTTTAGTACTTTTTTTCTAGAAATGGACTAGGTGAGAAATTTCGAATTGATATTCATGCATCAAAGTCAGGAAAACGTTGATGTTTTTTAACAGTAGAGACCAGACTTTCATGCACTTAAAAATTGAAAAACGCTCTTAAAAGAGCACCCAAAATAGGCACGAAAAAAGTTTAAAAGGCACAAAAATAAACGTATAAATTAATTTTAAAAAATAATTTAACAAAATATCAATGCATTGTTAGTTTATTTGCCATTAAATTAGAAAACAATTATTTTTAGACATTTCCTTTGGTTAAATTATGTCGTTTATCCAATAAAAAAACTTCTTACAAAAACACAGTTTTAAATCTGGGAGCAAAGGTCTAGTGTTCAAATCGATGTGTATTTATTTTAATTCGATGCTTCGTTGCTTCGGTTACTGGTGTGGTGTGTTGCGATTTAGCTAACGGTCATTAAAAAAAATAAGCATTATGTTTTTTTATTTTAGACAAGAAGTTAGGCATGTTAGTTCAAAATAAATTTTGCAGTTTGAATTCTTGACCGAGTCCGGTCTATTTATCAGTGAAATTAAAAAAATGCATAACCTTAAAACATTGAAATGTTCACTTGATAAATTATAAGTAGACTGGCATTGTCTTAACGCATTTTAAATATTCCATACAGGTCGGTTCTTTTGTTGTCATTAAGTGATTAATGATTATCTCGTTGAAATAACATTGACAAGCTGTGACTTTAAGGAGTTTTAGTCACTTACTGAAGTTAGCAGCAATGGCTTTCGGGCTTGTCAAATGTCATAAAATATGTCAAATGTCATGACAATATTTAAAATAAAGGAACTTTAGAAAGTGCGGTTACAACCGTCTAGACAAACGTTTATTATACACTCGCTACGCTCGTGTCTTATTTAAACTCGTGACTAAAATGCCGTTTATCAAACTTGTTGAATAACACTGTAGGGAGGTAAAAATATCACTAAACGCTCGGACACATAAACTTAATTTTTGGTCGTAGATTACAAATCCGTGCTTGGGTTAGCTGTATCAGGTCAAAATTTAAAGATATTTAATTTTCAAGTTTTAGGGCATCCCATTAGAAAACACCATGTATAAATTTTTTTAAAATTAATTGGGCTGGAGCAAATTTAAAAAAACAAATTCTTGCTAAATTTGAGGTTATCATGCACTGAACCAAAAAGTAGCGTAAATACAATAAAAAAGTTCATTGTCTCGATGAAATGCTACATTGATTCTGGTCCAACGAACGATTTTATTAAATCAATGAAACACATTTCATTAATTGATCAAAGAATTTATTAACCAATAAATAATTAATTTTATTAATAAAAATCAATTCATTGAAAAGAAAATGTGAGTTTTCTTTATTCAATGAAATATGTTATTGTTGTAACGAACACTATTTATTTTTTAAATAACTATATTTTGTTAATTCGACAATTGTTAGTTATTAATTATATGTATTTCTTTTATTAGTCTTATCAATATTAGTAATAGTTAGAAAGAATAAAAATTATTATTACAATTAATTGTATTCGTTGATACTGTAATCGTTAAATATAGATCAAATGTATATATTCATACTCTTAACGAACTATTGTAGCTGATGCAACAAATGACATTGTCAATACAATGAATTTTAGTAATTGTTATAATAAATCAATTTAGTACTGTAATGAACTTAATTTATCAATACAATAAGTCTACTCTCTAAAAATGTATTAGCCAAAAATGACTAATTTAATAGTTATTAGTGGCTGCTTTTTCACTTGTACCATGGTTAACCATGGAATACCATGGTATCTTAAAATTTAACAGCCAATTCATATGTAAAATTGTCCCCTGAATCCGAAAATACCGTCAAAAATTATGAAACTGGAGCAGTTTTTAAAATAGTCAATTCTATAATAAATGGAAAATTGACTATATCTCAAAAACTGTCCTACTTTTTTAACTTTTAACGACATTTTCAGATTCAGGAGACAATTTTACATAAGAATTGGCCGTTAAATTTTGGGATACTATGGTATTTAACCATGGTTAACCATAGTACAAGTGAAAAAGCAGCCACCAATAACTTTTAAATTAGTCATTTTTCACAAACTCATTTTTAGAGACAAGTTGGAAAAGACAGAAAAAAACAAATTTTTTTTGTCCTTTCCCGCCTGTGCCCTTTGCTGTGAATTTGCCAATGTTAATGATGAATTTGATAGACTTGCAAATACTAATAATTTTTTAAATGACTTTTGACAAAATAAAAAAAATTATATTTATTGTTTTATTTTTATTTTTTTTTTTAAATAATACAAATATAACTTAACAACATGTTTACCAACCACAGACTTAGTTTATAAAAATTGCAAAATTTCTTGTATATTCTTCTTCTCTTGGTGGAACGATAGTACTCCTAAAATATAAAGAGAATATTTTGTGACAATCTTTTTAAGGCGTAAAGAGTAAAGATCACTAAACATCCCAATTTTCAGTCGGAAATCTGTCTAGAATTTCTCTTTTCGGTCTATAACTGATTGCTAAGGTAATTGGAACACCTTTAAATTTAATAAATTGCGCTACCAAGTTTGAGGTTAGCTGTTCATCTTGAAATTTTAAAAATGTATTGTAATATTCCACGCATAGAACCTTTAGGAGTTTTATTTAATATATTAAATAAATATACAAAAATACAATATGGTGCGAAACGCAGTTCTTGGCATGGTGGAGTTGATGCTCTGGAAGCACATGCCGATGGATTCATAATTATTATTAATTTGTGTTTGATTACCTGATGTTTTTGCATTTAAAACATTAATTTCAAGCTCTCTATTTAGAACGTCGTTTGGATCGTTGTTGAGTTGGGTATTAAATTTTTCAAAAAATTATTGTTTAAATGTTTTCTATTTATATGTTTTTTAAAACTACTTAAGTTTTAAAAACTTTGACCACAATTAGGTATCTTCAAAACATCTAAATACTGAATTTTTGGTAAGATCTTGATTTCGTTTAAAATGCAATATAAGTAATTTTAGGAAATTAATTTTATTTGCAAAACATCGTGTTTCGACTCTAACTATCCGAAATTTAAATTAGTTTTCCTACGCTTTAGGATAAGACGCTATAAGTGTTTTTTAAACCTGTAAGACCTAATACTAATAAATCAGTTTATCAAAATTATATTTAAAAACTAAATTATAATTACCTTTTTTTAAATAAAGCCAGTCACTAAGACAAACACTGTACTAAGGTCTGTGGTATTAAGAAATATCCTCTTTCCTGCAGTTAATGCCCGCACTATTTTTCAAATGAAGGAAACTATTATTCTTGTCAAGAATTTTCATGTCCTTATTATTGTTCCAACGTAAACATTCAATAAAACAATTTAATCCCTACGTTAAGACAATATTAATAATTTTTATTATATTTCATTTGTTTGGTTGTACGTTAATATAATTAACATTAACATTAGCTGTGTACATTAATTCACTGATTGTTTTATCGTTAGGACAGTACATTTATTCAATGAATGCGTTTGTTAATATAAAGTATGCGTTTCATTAATGGATGAATACTGTACATTAATACCGTGATTTTTATAATTAGAACCAAGTACATTATTTCAATGAATGCATTCGTCAATGTAATGTATACTTTTAATCAAGCATTTTATTTGGTCGTTGCGGAAATTAATCGCAAAACATTAACACAATGGACAAATTATCATTTAATACTTTATTACATTATCATAACGAAACAATTTAGTAAAAGTTGTTCATACAAATTAATCAACAAATTCATGTATTTAATGAAATTGTTTACTGGACCGATAAAAAATTTGTTGTCAAAATAAATATTATACATTGACTAATGTAAAATTAATTACTATTACAATAACTACTAGTTCATCATGATGATGAACCAGGTGATTAGTTAATAAAATACCGTACTTAACATTTCTTTACATTAATTAAAAAATCGTTGTCCCAATAAAATATTAGTCAATAAACAGTATTAATTGATATTATGGACTAAATTTTTTTCAGTGTGATAACTTTTGCAAAAGGATCACGTCTCCCTGAGGTTTTTTTTACATAATTTAGGAAATTCAAAATGTTTTTGTTGCTGAGGATATTGAATTATATTATATTAAACGAAATAAAAAGCATAGGAATGTTGCCACGAGAGGTGAAATATATTTTTTTACAAATAATAATATATCAGGATCGGATTGCCAGCCGAGCACGGATTTGGAATCTACGACCAAAAATTGTTTCAAGAGTTAAAAATTTACCTACAGTGTACCTATTACTATTAACTGCTTTATTAAAATTTACAATTTTTAATAAACTTAAAATCCTTTACCTATATATATTTTTAATTTCGTGTTAAGAAGAAAATCCGCTTTGATTAAATTTTTACAGCCTTTAATAAAATTCCATTCAAAATTATTCAAAAGCGTAATGAAAAATATGCCGGAAGTTGATAAAAAGAAAAATGCTGTTTAAGCGTTTTTTGGATTACTAGGGTTTAATTCGATATTTTACGATTAAGCGAATGTAAACTTTCATTTGGGTGAATCTAAATTTTTAATTTGATTAAATCTTTGTTACTTGTTACATCGTATTCTTTACTGGCTTTAAAGATATTTTATGAAAGCGTATTGAGTATTTTTTTTTTAATTAAAATTTTAAAAGCGAGGGCTGATATATATGTTAGCATTTAGATGAAAAAAAGCATATAATCTCTTAGAAAAAAAAACAAATAAAAATTTGGTAAACGTGTTCAACATCATTTTTAGTTTTAACTTTTCATACTCTTATAATTTGAATTAAATGCCCAAAAGAAACAGTTCTGGAATACTTTTCGTATTTCGGTTGAACATGTCCATGGATTTAGATATGGGAAATGTGGAGGACTATGCGGAGAAATAAATATATTGAAAGGAATAGTACTTAGGTATATATTTAAACAAAATTTTAAGGGATAATTCAGGCTAATCAAGTGTCCAGAAATGCATAGCAAATACATTGAGCACGATAATTTCATGTAAAAAAATTACGAAAAAGTTACATAAGAGTAGGCTGCCAAAGCAATACATTTTTAAATAAAAAACAGTTTTTTCTGTTTCATAAACTTGCATGCATTGTGCAGCACAAATGAATAATAAGAATAATAAAATATCTTTAACTTTGTTTATTAAAACAAATATACATCTATGGTAAAAATTACTTTATACATCAAATAAAACTATGTCAATTTTGTTTTGATCACTGTCTCCGTTTTATGAGTTCTATTTTTAGTTGTGTGTTCTATAAAACACTGTTTTCAGATTTTTAATGGATTAAGTAAACTTCCATGATAAGTTATTATCCAATATTGACAAAGGCATAAATAATATACCTGAAAAACAATCTTTTATAGGTAGGGAATAAAGCGTATTTCAAAAATGTAAATTTATATCCTTACAAGTTTTTTTAAAATGTACATGTCAGAATTCTTTATATTAAATAAGCAATTTGATATTCTATCAAAACTGTTTTTATAATTTTTGTTTTTTTATTCTTTGTTTGAATATTTACATTTCTTTGTAGGTACTTTTTAACTAACTTTTACGTTTTAAAAAGATCAATTGATTCGAATCCAGTAGGCCTTTTCAGTGAAGAGCAAATTTTTTATTTTTCTAATTTTTATTTACTCATTATTAATACCTTAAGCACTGAATTATATAACCGAAACCTACTTAAAAGAGAAAAGAAAAATAGCAGGGTTCGTGACAACTTAATTTTAACTTAATTGTCTATATTTATTCCCAAAGCTCTTTTTACAATATTCAATTTCATTTTATTTATCCCTAAATTACTGAAATAAATTCTATTGACTAAATGACCTTGCTTTTCTGTTGTTAATATAAAGTCTAAAGGTTTTTTGACTTGATGTAGATGTCATAAATAATGAATGAATTCAATTTGTGGTATATCCTTTATGAGAGAAAAGTAGGTTATGTTTACTCACTCACCTTGTAAGCGTCTTTAATATTAATGAAGGTTTTGGTGTGGGCAACGGTTCCAGCGATGCCCACCCCAAAAGGGATCCTGATTTCCTCCGATCTCGCCAATTTGACCGCCTCCTCCAAAGAGGTATCGTGCTGGACGTCAAAAAGTTTAGCCACCAGGTACCTGTCTTCTGGAGGACCGCGAGCCAAGAAGAGCGAACCCCTGTCGGCGTGAGTGAGTATACTGACATTCTTGAGTATTTTGTGTGAGAGAACGTTGATATCGAGCTCATTTGCCACGTCGCGGATGAGTTCCATAAAGAGCTCGGACTCCTCCAGGGAGTCCAGGTCTTTAACGGGATACACACTCTTGACATTCTTATCGTTATTAGCCGGTGAGGCCGCCAACCACAGCTGAAATAAATCCGAGGTGATGGACGTCCTTCTGGTGTTGGTGTTCGCGGGAGGTTGCAGGACCGCCTGGTGCACCCGCTGGCGAAGTTCTTGAGAAGCGTGTTCTTTAAGCCATTGCTCGATGAGAGCGGGGTTCTGTTCTAGCCACTTCCCCGCCGTGGCCAAGTCATTGGCTGGGGATGGCATGGACATGGCACCGCATGTCCTTAGTACGCGCGTAGCCACGAGGATGCCTTGAAGGCGCCGCTGCTTAGTGTCTGTCCCGACGGACGAATCATACCGACTGCTGCTGATGGCACATGGAGCGGCGGCGATGTGCCCCGGACCGGGTGCGCGTACCTATTGATCTGGTGCGCCGGACAAAAGTAATAAGACGACGATGCGACGGATAACGGTCGCACACCGACTTCATATACCAACTCCTCTCCTTTCTGGATACTATTGCCACTGCGGCATGCTCTCATCATAAACTTTTATTTAAGTACAATTTTTTTGATTTTTTATTATCGTTTGACCATACAGGTGTCGTATTTTATTACCATTTACCCGTACGTCTCACATTCATATAAAACTTTTTTCAAGAAAAATATTTTTAATTGTTTTAAAATTTTGTCGATATTAATATCATATTTTCCACCATTATATCGCACACCCAGTTCAAGACCACTGCAACTCAAAAAGATTGAAATGAGATAATCAAGTTTGAAGTTTTGCAAAGGGTAAGGGAATTTTTTGAAGAAAGTAAGGACGACAACCTCTGCATGGTAAATTCAATGGCTTTTAATCAGTATATTTTGTAAACGTCTGCATTTTGTAGAAAGATTTTATTTCATTATTTAAAGAAAATAGGGTATTGCACAACAAGTTTGTATCATATTTTTTTATTATGTTGCATTAATAAGGTCTATGGCATTTAGACACTTTTTTGGTTACACTAAATAAAACATATTTATGTTAATATACATAATTAATTTTAATCAAACAAAAAAGTAATATAATATTTTTTTAATTAAGATCTAACGATACCTTTACTTTTTCTTTTGGTTTGAACTTATTTTTTTTTGTTTTGGTTGAGACGACTCCAGAGACTGGATCATGATAAAAAAGTCCCTCTTTATTGATTTAAGTTATTACATAAAATTGCGTTGGTCTTGCACACAACATTAAGAGAAATTAGATTAATATAGGCACCATATATTTTTATATGGTGGGTGCGCACTTGGACAACACAGATATTTCGGTGCAACATAAATGTATGTGAAATAAAGTTCTTAAAAATACGACTCAATCTATGATGGTTTCTTAAATTTATTCTAAGGTTGTATTTAAAAACTACTCTCTAAAAATGATTTAGTCAAAAATGACTAATGTAATAGTTATTAGTGGCTGCTTTTTCACTTGTGCCATGGTTAACCATGAAATACCATGGTATCCTAAAATTTAACAGCTAATTCTTATGTAAAATTGTCCGTAAAAAATTATGAAAGTGGAGCAGTTTTTGAGATATAGTCAATTCCATATTAAATGGAAAATTGACTATATCTCAAAAACTGTTATACTTTGTTAACTTTTGACGACATTTTCTGATTCAGGCGACAATTTTACATAAGAATTGGCTGTTAAATTTTGGGATACCATGGTATTCCATGGTTAACCAAGTAAAAAGCAGTCACTAATAACTATTAAATTAGTCATTTTTGACTAATTCATTTTTAGAGAGTATCATAACTCAAAACTGTTGATTTTTGAGTTATAGCGTTCTTGAACTGGATGTGCGATATCATCACAGTGGAAATATAAAAATCAACACTAGGGCCAGAGCAAATATAGTTAGTTTTTTCTGTAGATCTCGGTATGGTGCTAGCTCAATATATAACAAAGGTGTTATAAACTATAACTTGCTTCCTAATAACCTTAAACAACAAAAAATGTATCATGTTTTGCACGTTCTTTGAAGGACTTCTTGGGCTATATATAAAATGTTTATTTTTAGTTTTGTTTCATTTGTGATAACTCTGTATAGTGATATTTTTTTCTGTACAGTGCGTGTGGAATAAGACAGGGTAGTTTTATATGTATATTTATATTTTTTAAATTGTTATATTTTTATATAATATAGAGATAATAATATTATCTCCTGTGATATAATATGTGTAGAATAGGAAAAAGTATTTTTTTATATATTTATATCTTTTAGACTGTTACTACTAGTACTACTATTTTATAATTATTATTGCACTATAATTAACTTTAAAGGGAGGAACCTCCATGGATTTTTGATGTAATCGTATTTTGGTTCAATAAATCTATTCATTCATTCAACTGAAAATTTACTAAGCTTAAGGCTATAGGAAAGAAACAATGGTTAACTTTGGAATTATGAAATTAACCTTTCAGAGTTACCAAACTTTCTGACTCTAAAATGTATTTATCACAAGCTTACTTCATCCAAGCGTGGCTTGCCAATATTAGTTAACTTTATTAGGGATCTCCGCTCAACTTTTCCCGAAGATTATTGCTTACCAGCTACACGCGTGTACGTGTGTACACGCCCTCCTTACATTAAAGATTGTTTGCTATAACTTTCTGGTCATACTTTTGGCAAAGGCATTTATATTTTAAAAACGTATTCAGGCAATAAACCATTAAATTTTTATCGAATATTTATGCAAATGTAAATTGCAAGCATCTATACAAGCATACTAATGAATTAAAATATTATTTCTTTATTGGTTTTAGGACGATAAATGTTAACATAAAAATAATGGTTTATTAGGTACCTACGTATTTTAATGAATACTTAAAACACGAACCTTTGAAAGAAGCATTCTGATCGATGTTTACTGACAAAGTCAATACATTTTATTGTAATAAAGGAATATTTTCCAAACTATTAAGAAAATAAATAATAGTCAAGTTTAAATACAATGTAATTGATATTCACTTAATTACAGAAGATTGGAGGCAATATCGCCGCATATCCATTAAGAAACAAAGTCGGTGCCAAAGAGGTGGTGCGAACGTTCGCAAAGCGCAGAAAAGCTGCCGACAACTTACCATCTAATCGCCATTTTAATTGGACCGCTTAACTACACGGAGACCTATTCGTATTCAACGCAAGAGCCAGAGCTGAAAGCCACTCGACTCGGCTTTCCTTCGCTTTGTTAGTTTAGGTCAGGAATTGAAGGTTTACGAAAATAGTGGACGAGAAAATGGAATTTTGCCAAGAAAGCATTTCAAGCTCGAGTATTATTTTAAGATATTGATGAATCGACTCGTTTTATTCATTTATTCATAGTATAGTAACCTCTAATTATCTTACCTAATGCTGAAACATTTTTAAATGTTTAAAAACAGTTAAGCAAACAAAATTAGTATTATCTGATTAATAAAGAAAAGCAAAACTTTAGGCTTTTTAGGCTTTAGGTAAGTATAACTGCAAAACAATGTTAGGCTATTAAAAAGCTATACTTTTAAGTTTTTAGCTGTGGAAAACACAAAAACTAAATTTAACACTCCGAAAGCAGCTTATAGATTTTACTGTGGAAAGAAACTTCAAAGACGCTTTTATTATGAAACTTTATATATATATTGACAAGTTAATTCGTTTGAAATAAAAGCAGTATTTCACAAACAACGCTAATTTAAAAATACAGGGTGGCTCAATGAAAACTAAACGGGAGTATTACTAGTATTTCTACCGTTTCTACTCGTAGTAAGCAGTGATTTTTTTAAAAACGCACAGACACATTAACTTTAGTTTCGAGGTGGACATCTTTTGATGACTTGCAAATCGCTTTACCCCTTCGCGCAGTGGTCACAACCCCCAATTTTTTTTTATTTGAAAGGTCTTGCTCTACCAAGTATCATGAAAAAATAGTCAAAAAATAGTCAATCCACACGGAAAAAAATCCCTTACTAGGTTTAAGAATAGTTCTATACTTCATGTTAGGAACTTGATTTAAGTATATTTATTATTTCTATGAGATTAGCGTACATTTAAACTAAGTAATGGGATATACTTAATTTTTAAGAAAAACTGTTACTTGATTTGAGATGAGTATTCTTGGATTGAGTTTAAAGGTATTTTATTTTAAAGAAAATTGGTATACTTAAATCAAATATACAATAATGCTTAGATGAAAGAGCTCTAGTTTTTTACTCAAAGCGGAATATTGCCACTTATTTTAAGTATTCTGTATATTTGTATCAAATTTTGGTATACTTTATTTAAATATATGTATATTTAATACAAGAACGCTTATACTTCAATTTAAGTATAAGACCTCTAGAACAAAGAATACACTATACTGTATTTAAGTATAGCTATTATTAAAACAAATACCTAATTCTTCGCTTAAGTAAATACCGTCCACCCTCTAAGACCGCTTCGCTAAAAGAAAAGACGCAGTTTCTGTGTTCAGTTCTGTCCTGTGTTCTATGGTGGTAGCGTGTGTACGGGTCGGTGCCGGCAGTTCGTTTTTTCCTTTTTCGGTCTGGATGTTATTTTTAATAAAAAATAATGGAGAAGAAACTTAAAAATTGGGGCTTAGAATGTTTACTAGACACATTTTTGGGTAAGTAAATAATATTTCATTAATTTAAAGTAATTAACTAGGCATGCTCGTAAAAATGTAGTGTAAAATGGATAGGTATACTGTAGTGTAAAATGGATAGCATACGATAGGTAATAGACAATAGCACATAAACAGCAGAGAGGCTATAGCCTCCAATTCAGCTATATTATTTTTGTTTTAGAAAACGAGATAGATATCGATATTATGGTAAACCTAAGCGAGGAGAATTTAAAGGAATTAATTCCAAAAATAGGATTGAGGATCAAGTGTAGAGAAAAAATTGAAGAATTAACACTAAACCATCTACGATGATAATGGTAGCCTTCATTTTACTCATTTTACAAATTATTTAGCTGGAGATAAATTTTACTGACAATAAAAATACCTACTTAAAAAAATAATAACTATTGTGATTAAAAACCTTACCTTTACATATAGCACCAAAAATGTGATACCTAGGTACTTAAAAAAATAAAATGTAAAATATAGTATCTATGTTAATTTACCGTGAAAGAATGAATTTATATAAATTGACAGTACTTTTTCTAATACCTCTAAGACTGTTAGGTAATAAACCTATTGTGATATCAGTGCCTATTATACTTAGTACTTTAGTACATTAAAATAATTAAAATAATATGCCAAAAATACTGTTAAATTACTGTCATAACGATTATATTTTCACTTTCACTTGTATTTTCCGTAGTAGTAGGATAATTAATACAAATATTTTTCAGGGTCACGAATGTTTTTTTTGTAAAAATTATTCC